TGTCTCTGCTGTCATACACTTGGTATACTTGATTTTTAAAAAGTGCTTAATATATCTGACTAGGAAGGCTTCAACCCAAATTTTCCCCAGTACTCTACTGGGTCTTCAGTAGTCATCAAATATGTGCCAACCATTGCTAGCCATTGGGGATATAGTTCTGAACAAAACAGAACAATGAGCAACAATGAATAAGACAGAAAATGTCTCTCATCCTCGTGGAGTTTACATTCTTCTAACTCTCATTTCATTCAGCTATAGCAAAGCTAATAAACTAAAGTTTTAAATGAAAAGGATTTCAAGTCAAAATTTGTATACCTTTCAATTTAAGATTACAAGTCTAAAATCAATTATACATTTGAATTAGAGTCACAAAGCAAATCTGTCTAATTAGTGTCTCTAATCTGTCTGATATGAAAATACCAAATATACACATTTTAAAAGCCTGATTAAAGAATACTAATGCTATAAAATCAATTTGCTTTATCATTTAATTCTAACTTTCCTAATATTGAATACTAGGTTACAAAACTGAGCTTGCTTGATGGACAACTCATGACCCAGATCCATGATTGTCTGAGGTCGGTTTAGAGATCTGAAACTGACCAGAGTGACTCTTTCCATAACACAGATGGACAGACTGAGTCTGATTTTAATAGTGGCTATAGTAACAGGGACCTCCATTTTCTTCAGATTGGACTGGTTTCACAATACGCTGTTTGCTAGATTTAAGCCTTCCCTTCATAGCACTATTCAGCATTGTCCCCAATTTGGATGGATAAATTACTTCACCACCTATACCTACTTTACCATCTGATCCAATTCAGCTAACTCAGCCTATGTACCCCCTAATTCTTCTACATCAGGCTAGTTGGCCACAAACACTGGATCATGTCACCCCTCTGCAAGGTCTGCATTTGGAGGTGGCTGAGTGGAGCTGTAGCTCTTCTCCCCAAATGTCCATCAACTCACCTCCCTTCTTTCATATGAACAATTAATATTTTCTCAGTTTAATCAAGTGCAATTCAAACTTACTTCCAGAAAATTCTTAGCCAATCTCTCCCTTCAAACAGATTCCCTATTCTTCTGTATAGAAATTCTAAAAATATCATTGCTTCTTTTATCCAAACCCTTCAGCGGTTCACACGGCACTTGGAATAGAATATAAAACCTTTACCATGCGCTGCAAGTCCCGGCATGATCTGGCTTTGCATCCTGCCATGACCTCATCACAAACCTCCCTCTTACTATGCTCCAATTTCAGCCACAGTGGCCTTTTTCCACTTCCTCCAACAGAAGTCAAGATCCCTTCTACCCCAGGGCCTTTACACAGACTGCTCCCCCTTTCTGTAACCCCGTCTCCCCCACTCTGCTTGAGTGGCTCCTCATACTGTAGGTCTCAGCTCAACTGTCATTTCTTAGAGAGGTTATTGTTCTTCATAGAACTTAGCACAATTTCTGCGTTTATTTGCCTACTGTTTCCCTTCCCTACTAGATGGTTTGCTGCAGGGTCATGTGTGGTGCTCTGTTTGCCTAGCACCCATCCCAGGGCTCACATATTCTAGACAGTCAGTCATTGTTTGCTGAATGAATGACTATCACAGTTGCCACAGCAGTCACCATTAGCCTTAAGTCATAGCTATTATAATCATTCATATAACCGCTTTTGGCTCTTGGGAGGTACTGAGTAATTGTTGAATTGAGATATCTAAATGTCAGTTATCCTACATTCATTACTACAATTTATTATTACCTTTATGATCCTTTACACCAGCGGTCCCCAACCTTTTTCACATTGGGCACCAGTTTCGTGGAAGACAGTTGTTCCTTGGACCGGGGTGGGGGTAGGGTTGGAGGGTAGAAGGTTTTGGGATGATTCGAGTGTATTAAATTTACTGTGCACTTTATTTCTTTTATTATTAGATTGTAATATATAATGAAATAAGTATACAATTCACCATCATGTGGAATCAGTGGGAGCCCTGAGCTTGTTTTTCTGCAACTAGGCAGTCCCATCTGGAGGTGATGGGAGACAGTGACAGATCATCAGGCATTAGATTCTCATAAGGAGCATGCAACCCAGATCCCTCCAAGCGTGGTTCACAATAGGGTTCGCGCTCCTATGAGAATCTAATGTGGCTGCTGATCTGACAGGAGGCTGAGCTCAGGAGGTAATGCCAGCAAGCAATGGAGAACTGTTGTAAATATAGATGAAGCCTCACTGCCCACCTCCTGCTGTGCTGCCTGGTTCCTAAGGGGCCAGGGACTAGAAGCTGCATGGGGTCCATAAATATCCGTGGGGTAGGTAAATATCCAAGCAGTCCATGGCCTGGGAATTGGGGATCCCTGCTTTATACAGCTAGCTTTCTATAATTTTTAAATCTGTAATCTTTCTGTTCTTAGCAGTTCTCTTACAGGAAGACATTGAACTAAAAATGCCTTTTGGGGGACTATCTTTTCCTAATTAAAAACAAAAAAAACACAGAACATTAGTGAATTGGTTGACAGTAATCCATTTATTTTTTTTTGAGCGAGGGGACAGAGTCTTGCTCTGTCGCCCAGGCTGGAGTGCAGTGGCGCGATCTCGGCTCACTGCAAGCTCCGCCTCCCGGGTTCACGCCATTCTCCTGCCTCAGCCTCCCGTGTAGCTGGGACTACAGGCGCCCGCCACCTCGCCCGGCTAGTTTTTTGTATTTTTTAGTAGAGACGGGGTTTCACCGTGTTAGCCAGGATGGTCTCGATCTCCTGACCTCGTGATCCGCCCGCCTCGGCCTCCCAAAGTGCTGGGATTACAGGCGTGAGCCACTGCGCCCCGCCTAGTAATACATTTTGATTTTGTAAATATAAATTCCGTAGGCTACTTACTGATTACTTCTTTATTTATCCTGGGTATCCCAAGAGGTAGTACAGTGGCCACAGGTTATAGAAGGCGGTCTTGAGATCTGAATGAGGGGAGCTCTAATTCTAGATTTTATAATGCCTGTGGCTTAACGCCATCCTGCTCTGCCTGGTTCTTCAAGATCCTTGCTACCCACCTCAAAGAATTCAAGCCTTGGAATAGCACGGATTGTGTTAGAAGTTCCTGAATCCTAAGCAGCTAGAATCCACTGGCTTGTTTTTGCGATATCAGCCTGTTAAAAGCATATCCCCATAAAGATTTAACATCCCTGTCTCTGCGTCTTGGCACCTGTGAATATGAAACAACAGCATAAATATGATTTTGAACGTTGCATTGTCACAGATGAAAAAATGCATCAACAAGTCAAATAAAATGCAGCACTGAAAAAGGAAATCAGGCTTATTTTTGTCGTTGTTTACTGTACCAAAGCATTTTTGGAAACCCAAATCGAGGAGATAACCGTTTTTGAATGAACGGCAGTGGCAGAGCATGGTCGGGGTTAGCAGCAACGTGGCTGGGCGCCTTTAACTCGGCGTGACCTCCGGGTCCCGGGCCCGCGTCCCGGGCCCATCGCCCCGGCCCGGGCGGCGAATTGGCCGCTCCTCCCCTCGCGCGCCGCGCGCATTGTTGTCCTTTAGCGATTGGTTGTTGGACCAGAAACAGCTGTGCAGAGCCGTGCCATCTAAAGAGCTGTGGACCTGAATGCAGTGTAGCCGGCTGGCGGTGACTTACACCGGGACTCCAGAGGGAGAAAGGAAACGCTGCAGGCCACTTGCATTGCGTCTTCCAGGCTGCGTGGACCTGGCGCCCCGGCGAGTGCCGTTGTGGGGGAGCTCGCCGTGGCGCCCCCTCCCTCTGGCTTTAGCTTCCGTTGGGGTTGGCGCAGGTGGGCCAGGCAGGGCACCGCAGATCTCCCCGTTCCCACGAAGGCTGGCTCGCTGTCTCTCTCCGAGGGGGAGGGACCATCCTAAAAATATGTAAATATCCAAGCGCTGGCTCCAGCCTGGGGCAGCAGCCAAGGTCCCTGGCCGCCGCCGGGTGTTTTACATGAAAATGAGAAGCCTGATGGGAACCACGCTCTAACTTAAGGCAGCCTGGTGATTAGCATGAGACTGGGCGGCTGTCCTGCTTCCTGCCCTTCAATAGCCGTTCCGCGCGCTCGCGCCCGAGCAGCGCTGCCACCGCGCGGGGGTCGATCGCAGGCTCGGCGTCCTTGGCAGCCATGGCTCCGTCGCCGCCTCGGCCAGTAAGTAGGAGCATGCATGTGTAGGGGGCACATGCGTGTCGGCGCACCCACCCAGCCACCCACCCGCGCGCACGCACGCACAGCGCCCGGAACCTCGGCAAGGGGAAGATTGACGAGGCGCTGCAGTCGCGGGGACGACGCGGGCTCTTCCTGGATTCCGCAGGAGCCCGCCCGCCGCAGCTGCTGTCTGCAGAGCCTGCTCGGATCCTGTGCACACGCGCCCCCGGCTCGAGCCTCTGTGATGAAGACTGCCTCCCGGGGACTGCAGCGGAGGCAGAGCCAGCCAGCGCCAGGGACTGCGGGCCGTGCGGCTGATAGGCCCGCGGGGACAC